TCCTGCTGGGCAGGTTAGGACTGATCTCTTTCTGCCACTCCAGGAAACACAAACCTGGGGACGGGCTGACGTGTTACGCCTCTTCTAATGACATTTTTTTCTTTTTCTTTTCTGTAGGAGAGAGAGGAGAGACCCTGAAACACACGCCACCTATCTTTGTGGGGAGGGATAATTGAAGAGCACCAAACGTGAGCATCATGTGGAAACGTGATCGCCAAGTTTCTCTCTGGGAAAGGATCTGGGATAGATTATACCTTGAAGTCTCCGCAAACGCTTTAGTGGAAGCTCCCTTTCCTCCCTCCCTCCCCAGCCATCAAGTCTTTGGCATCATTATCCTCTTCACTAAATCCTACTGGATACAAGGCGGAAAACGGTGAACACCATTCACAGAACTGGATAACTCAAAGGAACTGAAAGTTAAAGGGAGCGATCCTGCGCCTTGCAGCCCAGCTCCCTGCTCCTTCCCACCCAGCCCCCTCTGAGGGCCTGATCCTGCGGACGGGGCCGCTGGGGCAGATTTCTCCGCATGGATCCTAGCGCCAAAGTCTTTCTCCCTGCCTCAGTTTTGTCTCTCTGATTTGAGAGGAGGAGACCACCTCATCAAGTGGGGGCCAGGGACGAAGCGCTGGGGTTGCACTGAGCAGCACCCACTGGGCTCCTGATCATTTGGGGCTGGTTGGGCATGCTTTATTCCCACGCTCACTCTGCTTGTGGGAAAGGGCTGTTCTCCTGGGATGAAGGAACCTTGTTTTCTGTTTTGTTCACATATATAGATTGGGGGGAGAAGAGGGAGAGAGTGGAGAATTTTTCCTGTCTCACTCCCCTCATTTGGAAGGCGATAGATAGATAGATAGATAGAGAGAGAGAGAGAGAGAGAGAGAGAGGGAGAGGGAGAGAGAGGCAGGTAGGCAGAGAAGGAGTGAGCGAGCGGTGTTGAACTTCCAGGGGTAACAAGTTTTTCACCTCTTTTCCATATTAAAATTAATATAAAATAAAAAAAAGGAACAGACTCCACCTTTGCACTGAAGGGATTGGTTATGCAAATATGGAAGGGGTTTCCTGGCGAATACTGCTTTCTACTGTATGGTTAATTAAATCATCACTCAAAAGCCTTCCAATGTGACGCTTCTGTCGTAATCCAATCAGGTTACGTAGGTCCTAAACAAGAAAGATATTTTCCACATCTGGAAGTCAGCAATTTAGCAAGTACTGCACATTATTAACCAATTCAGAGCCCACTTCCCAGGGGGATTTTTTTTTTTGAAGTTTAAGTGTTCTTAACCAATGCTCTGCTGTTTTGTTAATCAAAAAGCTGGTTTACACTGCACATAATTGGGAACTAATACAGAAGTAACTCAAAGCAGCCAAATTTGTGGATGCTGAGCTAAGACATTCAGCTGAGAAAGGGGGAAAAAACTGAGCCTCGATCAGTTCCTGCCCAGCTTCCCTCAGACCCCACATATGTTTCCTTCTCTAAAAGAGCTTTAAATAATCTCAATGCAAAGATAAACGTCCAATCCTGCATGTTAGCATGATCCTTTCTGAAGGTAAACGTGGAGCTGCCCAAAGGGCTGTACTAGTGGGCTCCGAAACAATTCCCCTGCTTTGACAGTTAAATCTATTACAGTCCTTTTTTTTCCCCTCCTGAAGAAAACTGAAACAATGGTACACTGATCCGACACTATACTTTTACTTACATTAAGCTAAGATAAACTGCTCTTGAACTGTGCATTAAATGTGTGCCTACAGCAAGAACTGGAATGCTAGCAATAGTCACTAGCAATTGCCCTCAAAAATGCTCCTGATCAGGGAACACCTTTGTGATGATTAAACATTGCCAAGGAATTCAAATCTAACGTGCATTTGAAAATCCTCAGCTCCACTAAGGCTTGATGATTATTTTTATCTTCTAATAAATCTACCCTGGCATTTCTTTTAAATAAATCTAATCTGAGTTTGCTTGTTCTGGCAACCGCCCGATCATACACATTTTGGGGGAGAAGGATAGAACTGTGCAGTTGGGTACAGTGTACAATTTGGATACATCTGGGGACCGTAACTGTCAATGCAACTAATGAATAAAAGCGTTAGCAGAAACCTGAGATTTCTTTAGTGCAGGCAGATATTACAGCAATAGCCACAAGATTTTTTCCCCTTTTCCAATAAGATCCTCAGCTCAGTTTGTTTTTCCTGCTGTTTCCCTGTTGTCATTCCCTGAGTAAGGAAGGACTTCAGGCTTTTACGAGAGGAGCTTACTAACCTGTTTCTTTCAACACACCGGTCACCTTTCTTTCAGGTCAGGTCCACAGTCCAAATTAAGGACTAGGGACTTCAGAAATCTTGGGGGGAGGGGGAAACAAGTGCAAGCGACCTAATGAAAGAGCTAATGAAACATTTCTCTTCTTGCATCGTCTGCAAACCTCTCATTATAAATATTAAAGAGTAGGTTTCTTAAGAGCTGCCAGTTATGTATTCATTTAAAACTCTGATGAACTGATATAAACGAACTCAGTAATTAGGCTAGTGAGAGGAAAGGGTCTGTTGCCCTCCTGGGGGGTGGTGGTGGTGGAGGAGAAGAGGGAAGCTGGACGACTTGTGTTCAAACTTTTGGCACAACTCTGTACTGAATGTCAACATTATTTTCCTGCAATATGTGCGATCTAGCTGTATCTTGTTATACCTACAGCTAGATCAAGGCAGAGATACAGAGCTATATAGGAGAGCGATAATATCTTAATGAAATATATGGCACTGGGCAAATATCCTGAAATCAGATTCAAAGTATTATTAATTTGAATTAGATCCTCTCAGATCCACAAGACACTGCCTATAAATCAAGGGCAGGCTGGCAATTTCTTAAAGAGCTAAACTGAATTTAGATGCATATGATAAAAAAACAAGTGAATGCCAATTACTGAGTCGTCCGATTTCCAGTCACCCACGTTCTGTATGGAAAACAAGTTCTTAAAATAAACTAATCCCATTACAAACGCCTTACATATTATTCATGCACTTCCAGATTATAAAATAGGAGGGTCGGTGGGAGGATTAAGAGAGGATGCAGCCTAACCTGCAGTAATACTGCGATCGATGTTTTATAATTAAACATATATGTGTGTGTGTGTGTGTATCTATTTCTATTTAAAAGAAGCTTTGAAAGGAGCACAGAGGGCAATCAGACCGTAGGACGATGCTCCTGGGCTTTAGGGAATACTTTTGTATTGTCAAATAATCTCTATTCATAATTTTGTAGGCTCTCCTTCACCCTTCAAGCTGACAATTTCTGCAACTCTTAAAAGCACCCCAGCAGAGATGCATCCTCCAGATAAAATGCTCTGATCTTCGCTGGATTGGCACAGCACTTCAGCCTCTCTCAGACATTATTTTAGCGTGGTGTAGAAGGGTAATTATTTCTTTATTTTGGCCACAAGACACAAACATTTAGCAATCACTCAAGCCTTTCTGAGCTGGAATTTAACCTTAGCCCATGCGATGATTTCCTGCCCTGCACTGAACTAATAATGGGCGGGCTGCTGCTTTAAAATATGGCAATAATGATAGTCTATAGATACTGCCTTTATTGGGGTGTTGCTGGCAAGGCAGCCCTCTGACTCTGTCACAAGTGCTGAACGCAGATTGCAATTAGATTAACCCCCACCCCCGACTCCCTCCCAGCTAAAGTCTCCTTCGCTCCATTTGCAACTTGGCAAAGAGGCTTTCTCCCCCAGCATCAGGACCAAGCACAGCCCGAGCCCCTCTTTGCAAGGCGCGGCTCCGCCTGGGCACAGGGCGGGCGGGGGTGGGGGATCAGACCCGGCTTCAGGCCGGCTCTTTGGGGGCCAGGTCCCTCCCCACCACTTTCCCGGGAGAGGAAACTTCGGGGCCAGCAGGCTGCTCCTGATGCAAAGCGGGGCTGCTGCCGCCTTCTCCCCCCTGCTTCCCCCTTTGTCAATTGCATCCATCACACGTGAGACACAGACCCCTGCCCCGCCCCTGCCCGGGGGGCTTCCCTCCTCCACCACCTACTTTCTAATCACGTGAGCTCGTCCCCCCGCTTCCGGTTTGTGGGGTCGCAGGGGCTGGGAGCAAGGGGCTATTGGCCACATGCAATCGCAAGCCTCGCAGCCGAGGTGTTGCTAAGGGCTCATTAGCATGTGAAAGGGGCTGGGAGTGGGGATCGCCCAGAAGAGCTGTGGCAGAGCCCATCGGGGTGGAGGGACACGGGGTAGCGGGAAGGGGATGAGCCTGCTCCGCTCTTGTCAGCAGGGCTGGGATGGGTGCTGGGGATCACTTAGCACCCGGGTTCATTTTAGGGAGATTCAGTAGCATGTGGGTTAGCTAGGCCCTGGAGGACTTTTGCCTTATTCTGAAATTTCTATCAATAATGTCTTTATGAGAAACTTGAGGCAGAGGATGGCAGGAGAATCTCTCTCGCTTTTTGCAGCAACAAAGGACAAGTCATTTGGAAAGCAAGGCTCTCTCTTTTTTTTTTGTCTTTAATTCTCTGTGACCCACCCCAGAATGGATATGCTGGGCTGCACAGAGGATTTCATTTGTGCTACTGCCAAGGGGTTTTCATTTTCATCTCATGAATTTAGTTTAATCACAAGTAGCAAAGGTGTGATCTCTGCTGTTGCTGCATGCGCATCCCTATCGGTCGGCTTGTTGTGCAAACTTTATGGCTGTTTGGAAAATAAGGGGAGGGGAATTAGAGGGACAATTTGCATATTAAGATGCCTGTAATCAAGCACCTCCATGTGTAATTAGCTCTTCCAGGCCACCTGTGGACTGAGGAAAAATAGCTAGCATTTTAAAACACGGGAACATGTTTTAAAGAACACTAGTTGGATTTCGAAAAAGCCCTGGTCATGGAGGACCCCAGGGGCATATCTTATATGTTCTTGAAAGGTGTTAAGCCTTTACTGCACCAGTGATTAAAAACTTATTAGCCGATGCCTTTAAAATGTGTATTTTCCCCCTGTAGTCTGGACAGGGTCTGAATATGGGGAACTAAACATGATGTACTGAATTAGTGGCCAAACGTGAACATTTAGCTTCCCTTCCATCTGCTGTCATCCCTCACTGTAGAACTGGGTTACTGCTGAGCACTGGAGGGCAGAAGTGGAGAGAGGAATACAATGGGGCAATGCTGTTGGAAACTGTGAGATCCCCTTAGGTCCCAGTTTATTTTCAAGCAGAAATCTCAGCTGATCAGGCTATGGTAGGTCCCCCCAAGTGAGAGGACTGGGGCTTTTTGTGCAGCCACCTGTGGGACTAAGGGGATGAGGAAAGGAGCCATTTTGGAGTGGTTTCTCCGCTGAGGAGATGAGTAGGAAGTTGTACAACCTTCTGAGGCCTCAAGTGAGTCCCCCTTCTTTCATGCAAATCCCAAAGCTGTGTGGGTTCCAGCTTAGAGAGCCAAACCTCTTTTCCCTTTTCTGCAGCAGGGGTTTTGGAGAATAGCCTCCTATTTGCTGCTGGGGTACTTCAGAAGAAACTTCTGCAATTAGCAATCACAATTTTTAGGCCCGTCTGCTGGGTAGGATCTGAGCCAAAGGCAAGAGTTGCCTGCCTTTATTTAAGGTTGCTATCTGTAGGCATTTCTAACATGCTGATCCCTATAATACTTGATCTGCTGTGAGTTTTTCCATGTAGAAGGCAAACCTTTCTCATATGTTTTCGTTAATTTTATCATTTATAAAATCACTTGTGCGCTAGCTTAGCATTGCTTAACTTATGCTTGCAATATCTGACTCTCCATAGAGAAGAATCAGCGTTCAACCTTTTGCAGGATACAAACTGCTCCTCTTGCTAAATAAGGAAGAGACAGTGACTTTGAGAGTGGGATGATGCAATTTTAGGTAGGTGGGTGAGGATGCTTGCTTAGGATTTGTTGTCTGGCATAATGAGCTGTAGTTGTTCTTTCTACTCTTGTGGGATTGATGCTGAACTTCGGGCACATTTCTTGGCTGAGTTGGTGGTTATTAAAATTCGCTGCTCACTTTTGTGTATAGTTTGTTGTTTACTTTGTTACATTTTTAAAAACTTGTTAGAATGCTATTGAACACAGATTCAACAGTGTTTGGGCCTGAAAATAAAGATGCATTAGAAAGATGCCTATTATGCTTCAGAATTATTAATTGACATTTTTATGATGAATAATTAATCATTTGAATAATTTTCGTATCTCTGATCTGAACACATATTTGCATATCTAATGTCTGACTTTAAATGTGTTTTCTTTTTTTTTGTTAGTTGCATTCTCCCAGGACAAAGACACGAAGTAAGTAACATCCTAATGTAAAACTTCTTCTGTTTGCAGTTGTGAAAGTGCCCGTATTGAAATGTAAGTTTCTGTCTAGATACGAAGCTGTCAACATTCTGCACATGCCATATATATGCTTATAGAAAAGCACATGCCTGGTTGATAAGAATACATTTAGGCCATGCTGTCTTAAGCACAGTGGTAATATTTGCCGCAATGTAGGCCTTACTTTCAATTGCCTGACATTCACAGATTATTTGCCTGAGGAAACCATAGAGGAAAAAGCAATGTTCTGTTTGTTGCGTGTATGATTTTTAATAACAAGACCAAACCTACTTTTAATTTGAGGTGTTTAAAACATCAACATGTTGCTTTTATTTTCATTGTCTCAAGAACATATCTAGAAGGAATAGATGATATCATTAATTGCTGTATTTTTACAGGCATAAACTGTAAGCTTTAAGAAAAAATCCCAGTCTATAATTAGCAGTTATATGAGCAATGGCATAAGCTATATATCAGTTGTAAGTTGTTTAAAAAATAGGTGCAAATGATGGTGTTGTGTAATGTGTAGTGCCCTGGCTTTCAGTTGGTATGTAAAAGGAACACAGTTCACCCTCACCCTCACAGGGAACAGAAAGGAGGAAGGAGCAGCAAGTCAAAACAAGTACCAACGAGATTTAAAAAAGAATAAAAGGGCCAGGTTTTGTCTCTTTGACCTTTCATTATTACAGTATCTATGGGCACTTGCACACGTGCAGGGTGTAAATTCAGTGCATCGGAGCAGACTCAATTAATTGACTTTGCCGGAGCGTGGAAATTAATGCGCTCCACCAGCCTCCAATGTCACGTGTATTAGTGTCCCCGCTCTGAAAAATGGCGAAGGGGCACTTTGAACTGAAGCTCATTGACTGAGCTTTAATTCAAAGTGTCCCGCCGCCATTTTTTTAGTGTGGGGATGCTGATGCACATGACAATTGGGTGCTTTTAATTAGTTCGGCTCCGTAATTAAAGCACCCCCCTCACCTCCCTGTTTATGTATGACTTAGATTTCTATGGACACAGCATCTGCTTATACCCTCTTTGAATTTATCTTATTGATTACTGTGGTCAAGAAAGAATTTAAAAAAATAGTATTTAGTGTTGCATTTAAATATAATGCTCAGATGCAGGCATAGCAGGGATTTTAAGTATGGAATGTTGGTTTCTAGTTGTGATACTTGGAATGATGCTTGAGAAATACCTTAAATAGATGTAATAGTATTTTATAAATTGTAGGTTGAAGAAATTACATCAAAATGAAAGTGGTGGGATGTATTGCATGATAGAAATGACCCTAAGCAACTATAAAGATTATAAAGGAGATGTAACATTTCCTTTGAAACATCTGGAGAGTGAAACTTAAAAGCATTATTTTTTCCTACTTTGCAGTAAAAAGTACAATTGTCTATATAATAATTTTTATGGTGGAAATATATTATATAGACTATGGTAATCTTACTGGTAATATCTGACAGAGATACTGTATAAAGAAACAAATGTAGTTCTCAGAACAGGCTGAAGTTATATTGAATGGGATATTTAGCAGTTGCATATGCTTAGTGATAACAGATTTTTTTGCTGGGGGTTGAATTTGTAATAGCAGAGTGGTAAACTTGAGCAAGACTTGCAGCAGGAAGGGGCAACCTTTGAGTTCTGTGCCAAGAACTTCCATTTGCTTTAGCTTTCAGAGTCACAGCTATTTGCACTAAAATCATTATGATTTAGACTTTCCTCTTTTAGGAATTGCAGGTGTCCTGAAGCTACAAGGAGGTTTAAATAGTCTGCCTGGAGTTGAGTAAAGCTGATTTTACCAACTGAAAGCAAAAGCTGAAGCTAGACTGGGCCACCTTTTCATTATCTCGTTTCCCAAAAGGAAGCACTTCTGGGCTAGATCCTTAAAGGTATTCAGAATTTGCAACACCACATTCCTAGGCTTCTTCCTTACTGGAATCCTCAGGCCTTAGTTAGATGCCCAAACTCTCCATACAATGCATGGAGTAAATTTGGCACCTCAGAAACAACATGACCAGGAGGCACCTAAATTAGGCAGGAGTGAAATTAAGAGAGAAATCTGGGATTTGATCAGAGATAGGAACTGATTCCTGGTGAGGCAAGTGCTACCTGCTCCTCATTCTTAAATGGTAGACCCTGTCTAGAAGCTAGGAGACTAAGCCAGGGTTTTCCGCTTGTGAAAAACAAGAGATCTAGTCCCATCCCAGAATACTGCTAGTTTAGAGCACTTGGCATTTTCCTGAGGAGTGGGAGACCTGGGCTTAAAGCCCTACTTTACATATTTGCAGCAGAGATTCGAACCCATATCCTCAGGGCAGTGCTCTACCTTCTGGAACATGAACCCATATGGCACACTGGCTTGTGTCTGAGATATACTCTCAGCTTGAGACTTCTGTGGTTGCAGTTTGAACTAAGGTTGTGCAGTAATGCGAGCATTTAAGTGGCTTTTCATCCACCAGTAGGAATGTAGATGCCTAAGGTGCTAGACAACAGTTTAATAGTGGGTTTGAGGATGTAATTTGCACCCAATTGATGGATGTAGGCTATTGAGAGCCTAAGAACCTCTGAGAAGTTAAGCATTAGAGTTGGATTCAGGGGGTGCGTCTACTCGAGACGTTTACTGCGGAGCTGACTTATTAGCTTTGCAGTAAAGCGTCAGAGTCTACACGCACGGTGCTATTAGGTTGGAGTAAACTAATTAACTCCACTGTAGGATAGTGCTGCCCAACACAAGTACTATCCAATGGTGTAGGTATTTAGTCCTCCGCAATGCATGCTGGCTAGCACACGCTGTAGCACCTCTGTGCTCCAGCCAGCTCCTCTGCAGCACGTTGAGCCATGGGGCCCCCTGCCAGCGAGGGCTGCTCTGCCCTGGCTCAACATGCTGTGGTCCTAGGTGCACATGTAAATGCTGCGCCCAGGAGCAATAAACTCTGGCATGAACTGTGCTGGAGTTTATTGCGTCAAATTATTTTCAAATGTAGACCCACCTAGGGAGACTTTGATTCTTTATATTACGCAAGTTGTTTTTTTCTCCCTGCACTTATGAGTTGAGGGCTAGAAAACTCATTTAAAAGAATGAAGTCTGAGATTCTGGAGTTCAGTTTTGAGCAAGACAAATTCTGTGCCTACAGAACTGTAGAGTAAGTGAGGGAATCTAGTTTGAAGTGGCTTGCTACCTCTGTTCTGGTCTTGGCCTGATCCTCTTTTTGGACTATAAGAGCCCAGGTGGGACTTCTGGTCCTTGCCCACCAGATGCCTACATCCCTCACTAGCACAGGTGGTAGTTTTGGGGATACAGTCTTCCCCTTCAATGAAAAACCACAATACTTGAAAAATGAAATTTTTAATTTTTGTAGAAATGCCCTTTTTCTCCATAATTGTCATGATGAAAAGTTTCCATCACCTTCTAATCTTCTGAGAAAGGGAAGGATAACTCTATTTAGATGCACATTCCACCAAAGAGAACAGTCCTCCCAGCTACAAAGCACTACTTGAGCATTAAGGAACAGTCAAAGGTCTAAAAGACTTTTTAGTTGCACATCTGTTTTCAAAATGGTAGACACATTCTCTTGGCCTGGGTGTTAATAGAAGCCTTGCCAGTTCTTATGCTTGTTTCCTCGAACTTACCAATGTTACCTCAAGTTTGTCTCTGTACTGAGACTCAGCCCGATGGCCCTTCTCCAAAGCCCTAATCTTATTCAGACACTGGGCCACTAGAGCTCTAAGAAAACTGTCTTTTTTTAGGAAAATTTTTACTTAATTCTCCTTCTCACTCTAGCTCTCAATGTTTGCTATAAGACTGTTTCTCCAGAAATAATCGGTCTCTCTGTGTCCTTTATTCCAGGGGGGGGGAGGTGCGGTTGGGGGAGGGGGGGGGCCTTGATCTTGTGTGTTAAAGTTGCCATTATTTTTACAATTATCATTTGAACACAGAAATACTGTTCTGTTTATGTACACTCAGACCAACACTGCTGGGTACATCACTTAAACATTGCTGCATGCATCATCCAAACTATTTTCTAACCTTACCACTGCTTTTAATGCATATCAACTCTCTTGCTTTAAATCACTGACAAGAATGTCAAAACTGCTGTGTCAGAACAACTGCTCCTTTTTTCTTGCACTCTGACAAGCATCCTTCAACCAGAAACCCTCTGAAAATGACTATTTTTATTCTTTTAAAAAAATTCAGACTTGATTCCATTGATAGCTTGGATGTCGATGTATTTCTCTTTCTCTGTTCTGGCCAGCATGGAAATGTGAGTGAGATGAAACATAGGTGTAAAGGAATATAGACACCGTATGCTTCATCTCCAGCCAGACTCATCCCAAGGAAAAAATGACTAAAGATAGCTTTTACTTTCCTGATCTTATTCTGGTGGTTAGCCTCCAGTATAATTTAGGCAGATGCTTCAAGTTACGGTAGTGCTGGTCAGGCACTAGCACCCTACACTATGATTGCGCCCTAATACATCTCTCCTTGCCCCAGCCTCATCTCTGGCATTTCTCTATTGCTAGAATTTGCTTGGCAGCCCAAGTAAGGCTATTTTTGACTGCCCTATGTAGCATTTGTGTTGAGAGCACTTTCTTCCGATTGGCCAAGGGGCTTGTGTGGCCGAAGGATGGTGTTAAGGTAGGAGACTGCCATTGTCTGTTTCTTTTAAATCCCCTGTTTCAGCAGGGAGGCCTACCACATTTGGCTGAAGATGCTGAGGTGCAAGAACGGGCAACTGAACCACTCCAGAATCCACACACCACCTTTAAAATCGTGGACATGCCAGAAATCACAACCTTGGCTAAACAATAAGGACAAAATAAAGCTGAATTTTTTTGTATCTCAATGTTCCAGTCTTGGGGTGCACTTAGACAATATTTTTCAGGCTTTTTCCTGCAGTGGAAAGGAGTAAAAATTGCTTTCTTAAAAAATAAAATAAAAATGAGGTCCTTATATGGTCCCCTGACTCCAGGAGCTGTGACTTTGAGAGCAATCTCCACCACTCTCCCAAACGAAGAAACTAAAAAAAAAAAAATAGTGGAACTGGCCATATGGATAGTCTCTCATATTTAGCACAGCAACTCAGGATGTTTCTTTCACATCTGTTTATTCAGTATCTTTCACCAATACTGAACTAAATACTCACACTAGCTATATAGAAAGTCATTTCTTTTTACTTAAGGACCCTTTTTTTCTTTTTCATGAAAATATCGTACCAAAAAAGGCAGACTGTAGATGAGATTATGATGAGCGATGAAGAAAGAGAGAGCAAGAGAGAGATAGAAGAAACAATAGCAGCTTTTGACATTAGGTAGGGCATCAGTGGGCAGTGAAGGTTTACTTGATGCTTAATTCATGGGATAGAGTTTAGGAGGTAAGAAGCAACATAAGAAGGAATATGATTGAAGAATGAGATGCTTTTCTCTACTGAAAATATGATATCTGAGAGAGTGTCAGAGGTTGGTGTCAGAGGATGAAGACCTGGCTAGTGAGATGAATGGTGGGAGTGGTATGTTGTTGAAGGTGATATTGATTTTTACAGAGGAGAAGACTGCTTCTTTTGGGTACTAGGAGCTGAGAAGGGAGGTGCACAGAGCAGAGACTGAAAACATGATAAATATTTGTTCTCATTATCAGGCATTTCTATGAAACCAGTTGTTACTGGAATCACCATTTGAGTTATATTGAATATTCAAATAAGCAGAATGTGAGGAAAGCTAAGTCTAATTATATGTTTCATGCCATTTACAGTGGTTTCCAGGGGATTTTCTTTTAATAAAAGTGCAATGCATCAAAAAGAGTAAATCTTACAATTTTGTTACTTACAAATCAGCTTCTGCTGTCTAAAGCTGACCAGCTTATTCTTCATTTTAAACTCTCCCATTCATCCAAGTATGCACGCAAAGTACTGATACTTCTGAGAGTTATATTCAGGTATCAAGTATACAACATTTTATTCTCCTTACCTACCAAACAACTTGATCAAAAGAAAAGCATTCTACAATCTCCAGATTGCCTTTTTAAAATTAACATATTAGGAGTTGTTAAGATATTTGTCTAATAAGAGGTAGAAGGAGTGCCTCAGTCCTTTCCACCTTTCCTTGAAGTGTTCAAATCTGCTATAGAGTATAGAAGAATATGTTGTTATAATAATACATGACCGTTTCAGCAAGCAAAAAGTAAGTTGGTGGAGCCCCAGCTCTGCTATGTACAGAATCTGTACACACAATCTGAACACCCATTCCTGTGGCTAGACCTTATTTGTAGCATTCGCAATAGCACAACATGCACTACTGCCTACACTTGCTGCCCAAGTTTCAGAGTGCCTAGAGCAGTGGTTCTCAAACTTGTAAGACTCAAGGCACTCCTGGGAAAATGCCAGCTCTTAGCTCTCAGTCATTTCTTGACTACGGAAAAATACTAGAGCAATTCTTCTGTTGCAAAGAACTCAGAAAGACCACAACCAGTCATAATGTTTTCAATACTATGGATTCCTATTTAAAATCTCTGGGTTTATCTTGTGAATCGTGTAGGTGTTTGCACACCTAGTACTGCCCTGGTGGCATTCTTGAAAGCGGGGGGGTTGGAGGGCAGCAACCTTTTCATTATGCATGCCGCAAATTAGCCCTGTGCTGTCTGGAAGTGCCACTCTGATCCCCTTCCCCTGCTTGATTTGCTGCTCTGGTTTTGCTCCTTGCCCAGTCTGTTGGCTGCTTTCTTCTTTCTTACTGTGCTCCCTGCCTAATCTGCTGTTCTGCTTTTTCCTCCCTGATCAATCTTCCACTGTGCTGCCTGTCCACTCCCTGATCTGCTGCTGAAGTACCCTGTTGAGAATCACTGACCTAGAGTTATCTCTAGCCAAATCACTTGTTCTTTGATCAAAAGGGGACCAATTGGTTTTATGTTCTGTTTGGAGTCAGTAAGATCCACCAGCACTTCCACTGCATCATCATGAAGATTTCAAACACTTGCTAATAAGATGTTGCAGAGTCTTCATCCTTCTGCAAGGACCTAGAGTTGTCATCTTGCATGTATCTCTGCTTCACA